CCCCCATTTACCACTTCGTCTTACTCGCTCTCCTATGCTTCGTCGGCACTCTTGCATGACTGAGGCACAAAAGTGGAAGTATGTACTCAATTCATCAGGCAAAACTGAGCGCTATTTCGGTGAAAAACAATCTGATGGCAGAAGTGAGCTGGACATGACCCGAGCCAAATTGAGACACTGGAAAAAACCCGCGAACCGGCAAATAATCCTGCACGGTCCTGGCGAAATATATCAGTTTCTTTTATTTAAACCATTTACACAACTTTCAGAGTTATAAGCCCTCCATTTTAGTGAACTGAAACCATAAAATAACCAATCCCTGCTTCTCCCATACGAAATTATGTTCAGCACACATACACACATATGCATACAAACACATACATACACACACATACATACACACACATACATACACACATACATACACACACATACATACACACACATACATACACACACATACATACACACACATACAAACACACACATACATACACACATACATACACACACACAAACACACACATACACACATACATACACACACATACATACACACATACATACACACATACATACACACATACACACACATACATACACACATACATACACACATACATACACACAAACACGCACACACACGCACACACACGCACAAACACGCACAAACACACATACATACACAAGCACACACATACACACACAAATATACACACTAAAGACATCTCAGAACAGCTGAGCTGTTGATAGCCAAATGCTTTGTTAAGAGAATCACTGCTTTGGTAATATTCCTTAGAGATAAAAATGAACGTCAAAATCACCAATAGGCTGACCATCAGATGATGCAGCAGTGTTAAAGTAACTGGGAAAATTACCAGCTGCATAGCATCGTGAGAATTAACAGCTGTTCCACGTACCCCAAAGATGAATCAATGCAATTTTCCCAAATTTTATGAATGGGAAAAAACGCGAACAGCTTACCGTATCTGGCAATGAAACAGCAATTTTCAGTAGCAAATTGGCAGCAAAATCCACGTGAATTTTGTCGATTGGTCGATGCAACTGAAACAAAGGCTTAAATTCGAATTTTGTCCGTTTAATCGAAACTCCGGCATCTCAATGATTTATACACTAACATCAAGGTAAAGCACTTTTCCGCGTTTTCTTTAAAAAAAAACCACTCAAAAGATTCTCCTGAAGAAAAAAACCTAATTAATTCATCAGTCAGCTGTAACTGCGCTTGCTAGCCTTAAATCTACAACAACATCAAAAGTCACACGCTAAATCCTTCTCGTATTTGAACTCTACAAAATGCCGATACATCGGGGAAGTGCCTCAAGTAACAGCAAGTGCTAACAGCAAACATCCGCTGGCAAGACCACCGATAGTCCTCTCGTTCGAGGGCTGTTTTCAAGCAAAAATACTACTGGGAATAAATATTAGAAAAGAAAGACTTACGCCCTCTACATCTCTGGCTAGCGGCTGCGACACTGCAGAAGATGAAGCCTGCTGTTGTTGTTGTTGTTGTTGCTGCTGCTGCTGTTGTTGTTGCTGTTGTTGCTGCTGCTGCTGTTGCTGCTGCTGCTGCTGTTGTGGTTGTAGTTCGTGTTGCTGTTGCTGCTGCTGTGGCTGCGACTCGTATTGCTGCTGCTGCTGCCGTTGTCTGGAGAAAGAACCTTCCTCCGATCTTTCTGCTCTCGACGAAGCTGGACTAATCGTACTACTTCCATCATCCTGAAATATATTGCAAATTTCACGAATAATGACTGTCGTCTCAGATTTATGAAATAAGTGAAGACAATAATTCATCACAAAACAACTCCACCTCGACTACAACCAATAACTTAGCCAATGCTCTGACAAAACTTTCACGGGATCGTACGTAGTACCCAGGCGTGCAAGAGGGCTGAAATTCAGGCTGCGAGGACTGCAAATTCAGGCTGAAAT